AAGAAAATGTCGTTAAGGTGTTACTGTGCAAAATTTGCAACTCTTTGTCACAAAAATCTGTGAAGTTTTGGAAACAATTTATTGCAAGTTATTTGAAGCACTTACATTCACAAATACATTAATGTACACAAATCGCTGGAAATGCTCATATAAACGGTTTGAGACATTTTAAACAAATGTTTGTAATTTTGGGGAATGAAACAAAGAATATAGCAAAATGGCGTTTATGTCATCTCATAGAGTACATTTAGCACTATCTCTACAAAAAGTTTAAAGAAAAAATTTGGAGTGTTTTTTGAGAAAATTTTGTTTTTGTTATATTTTAATATTGCACGAAAACAATTGAAATTTTCAAAAAATGTGCATGATCTTAAAGAAAGAACTAACTACGGAGAAAAAATTTCTTTAAGGAAATATTCCTTCAACTTTGTAGATTTAGAAAGACGCCGAAAAATGAAAACTTTTGCAACTTTTGTAAGTTAAGTTATTCGTAAAAATTGGACCAGTGCTACATTTATATGTGTATTTTACTCCCTATTCTTGCAATATAAATTTATAAACGAATATACTACTTACTGAATTGATGGCAATTCAATGAAATATCAACCTTTTCTTTTCAAACAACAAATAATATTTATTGCAATATAATAACGTATCTCGAGGTCGTTATTAATTCATGATCCTACCGTCTTACAACATTATTCAATCGTACGGCTTTGATACAGTTCATAAGCTTACGGGATAGTCTTGTAGGTTGATGTGTACGATGCCGCCATCTTCCTCCAAAGGGGATGTTCTGTGTCCTCCTATGGTGTAATTTATGAGCCTAATGTCCGTGTAAACTTTGGATGTCACCCGTGTTGCTAATTATACAGTCCGCTATTCGGAAAATCCCTGCATCTGCTCTAATATTGTCGCGTTGCGGCTTTCCCTCACTAGACTTCGGGTGAAACCTCTATCCGCGACTACTATTTCCTTAAAATTAATAATGTATAATTCCCACTACGGAACTAACCCCAAATAAACCCACGAACCCAAAGTCTAAATATTTTTAAATGCAGAATTCATACACGACAGCAAATGCAACTTATTAAAACAATGTCAACATTTACTTATAACTCAAATAAACAACCGCTGACATGTGAGCCGCTTGGCTGCTTCCGTAAGAAGTAGGCATTCGTTTATGCAAAAACTAAATGTTCAACGTCCTCCCCTAATCAATTCCATGTTAATGGTACTTGGCCGTGCTGTATCTCCACAATAGAATTCTCGTCTGGCATTCAGCATGGCGCCTAAATGTATTCATTGCTATGCTACGGGTGTTCCTTGGATTTTAACATTCTAGATGCATCCATTACGTTGTATTACACTCGTAACATTCTAGTATGTCACTGTATTTATTAGCCGACATAGAGTTTTTCTTAACATCTAAAATGATTGAACCGCCGAAGGTACATACAAATTATACACAAAACTATATACATATTTAACAAGAAAACATTGGAGTCAGCTTATTCCAAATGCGCTTTGAAATAACAACATTCACGGACAATTTTGTTTACGCTTTTCTTTCTGTACCTTTAGGAAACCTAAAGAAGAATATATTTGGCGAATTCTTATAATTGTGGCTAATACTTATAGCATTAGAGGAATTTCCGTATGTTGTTGCCATTTTTATTTTCCCGTATACTTACGTAAATACTGAGTATAGGGAAAGTTATATAATGCTGCGGAAAATCGATCACGAGATTTCAACGGAAATACACGTTTTGGGGCCCTGTAATACCGAAAAAGTGGTTATTTTCCGTCTGTCCGTCCGCTTGTGAACAGTACTAGCACCTAAATTATGCGTAGGATTTTTTCCAAATTGAAGAATCCACTGTCCTTCTGGCTCGAGTCGAGTTTTTGAGATTTTGAAAAAAATCTTTACAATTTGGGGGTATTTTACATTAAGCCCCCGGACATATTCAAAAATTTCTCAAAAACGGCTGCAATTTTTTCTTTATATTTCTTGAAAATATAAAATAAAATACACTTATAAATATGGCATAGGTCCGATTTTCAGGTTTACCCCTGAATTTTTGAAAATTCCAAACTTTTTCGGGGGCCTTCCTACAAGTACAAAATTGAATATAGATATTTTTCCTTCAAATAAAATTTGTTCTCATAGTGAGTCATGTACATTTTGATGGAAAATTATAGTAGTTTTCGCGCAATATTGCGTGTAATTTGTGCTATTTTACAAAAAAATAATGAAAACAAGGTTTTCTCAAAAACTACTCCAAATTTTTTTCTGTAAACCTTTCGTAGGGATAGTACGAAATGCACTCTATAAGATGTCACAAACGTCATTTTGCTCTATTCCTTTGTTTTTGAAAATTTTCCAAAAATGTAATTTTTTTGCATGTCTCTCACATCGTTGATATTTAGTGGCAATTTCTATTTATTAATGAATTAACGAGTGCATTTGCTTTAAATAATGTCAGATAAAGTTTTCCGAAAACTCAATCGTTTTGTGTGAAAACTAGCTCAAAATTCCGCATTTTCAGAAAGTTTTCTCAAAACGGCTCCGAATTTGTTCTTCAAACATTTCCAAACGATTGTGCTAATTGCACTGCTTAAAATGACCTTAGAAAAATAGAATTATTTTTTCTGTAGTAATTTGTTTCTTCTAAAATTACACAATTGTAATTGTTTTGAAAGATCTCTCACGCCGTTAATATGCACATTTCCAGCGAGTAGTAAACAATATTGCATTTGTGACTGGAAATAATTGAAATCACGTCATATGAAGTTATTCGAAAACTCAATAGTTTTCTTTGAAAAGGGGTTCAAAATGCGAATTTACAGTAGGACTTAAAAATGCAATTTTCTTAAAACACGGCTCCAAATTTTTCGGCGGTTTTACTGTTCTTTAATATTCTTAAAATAATATTTCCCTTCTACTATTAAGAATCCGAAAAAATGAGATTTTTTAAAATGTACTTTGGGCAGGAATAGATGACAGCTGGAAAGAGTAGCTTCCGAGTAGCTAGCTGCGACCAATGGAAAATGTGATGTCACAATACAACAATGGCAAGTGAGCTAAGAGCGGATAATAAATAATATTCAACAGTTTCAACCCACTGCATTAAAATTGTATCGCTATCATCACATACCTTCAAGCAAACTACGCGTAATCAGCCTGCAAATACGTAAGCCGCACCTCTACGAATTCGTGCTGCTTCTTGCTCGTCACTTATAGCGCTGAGGTCGCACCGTATGAAAAAAATCATTGGTAGTTTCGCAATTGTTCTAAACTGTGCTCCATGCTCTCTCCGATACAGATGGATGTTGCAAATTTCTGCTGCGATCACGTAAGCGCGGGGGATCACGAGGTACGTACGTCTATACTAGGAGTTATTTAACCATGCACTTGACGTAAATCACCTTTTCACGGTTACATCTAACCGGAAACTTGAACGTCCCCACAGTGACGTTACTGTAGCGACATATACGTAAGCTTCCAATTGGATGAAACCGCAACAGCTGATGTACGTCAATTGCACGACTAAATAAATGTACCCACTTTTTCGTTACTAGGGCTCGTCAATAGGAGTTTTTATGTCGAAAATTCGCCGTTTTCCAGCGCACAATTACTGTCTCGTATCTTAGTAAGTTCAAGAAAGTAAAAATTACAATATAAATAAATGAAACATTTTATCAATTCAAACAAAAAATCACTAATTATTCTTACAGCTCTTTTAATTATTTAATTAAATAAGTATCTTTTTCCATTGAATGAATATTTTTGTCAGTATATCATTTTCGAACACATTGAAAATTTTGGAACCTGCGTGTTCGGGAAATATTTACAGTTGCTTTAGATAGTTAACGAAAACGCCAAGAATCAAAAATTATTCTCAACAATGATTGTGAATGAAAATTTTGAGAGAATATCTGTATACGCAACATATATAGATGTCGTACCAATATAAAAGTTTCACAGCAATCAATGATTTTAATAGTTTTCAAAAACATTTCTGTGAAAACATAACTTTTAGAACAATATATTTTTGTAACAAAATTAATAATGACTTAAAATTCCACTTATTTTCCGCCATTTCAATTATTTTCCATCGTTTTTTCCGCTGTCAGCGTGACTCATGGTTGAAACTGCACTGAAAACGGCGGAAATACCCCTGGTCTCACATCACTAAGCATCACTGGCATCACTAAGCGCGCCTTTGCGTAACAGTTCGGCATGGCAACTGAATACAGAGATTTACATATTAGTTTTAAAGTATCGAAAAGGTCAGGTAATAGGGGACGTTTCGAAGGACAGAACCTACCAAATGAGTATTGTCCACCGAAAAGGAGAACGATTGGTCACATTCAATGTATATAAACATTATCGTCGTATGTCAAGACTTACTGAATTCTAAACGCTTATGAATATTAACATTAAAAAGAAAATATTGTCTGTCGTAACATAATCACAATCTCATACTTTAATAGTCTTTGGCCACTTGGTTTACATGGACAGACAGTCTATAAAACCAAAAATAAATTAGACTATCTTTACAAAAAGTTTATTGAATTATCATTTTCTGAGCGACGTTCCGGGGAAGTGAGGTTTCCTGAAATTGGGGTAAAACGTAATCCTCGAAATGTCGCTCAGAAAATTATGAAATAACCATTTTGTGAAGATATTTTATTTTTTTAATAAACTGTCAGTCCATGTAAACCAAATGGCTAAATACAATTAATTTATAAGATATGAATATTGGGTTCCCCAATGCGATTTGTAGTACATTTCCTTGTTGGGATTTGTATACTGCGATTTATGCAACTCTGCCCCTGGCAGGTATAAGCTGTTGACGGTTTCATCCAATCGGGAGCTTGAAAGCCACTATAATGACGTCACCATGTTGACTTCCAAGATCCCGATTGGATGAAACTGTCAACAGCTGATACCTGCCAGGGGCAGAGTTGCGAAAATCGTAGTGTAATGTTGGAGATGCATGATAGATAGCGCCCTAGTCACCGAAAGTATGGCACGTCTCCGTATCTAGTATGTTATTAGTCATCTGTGTTTATACGGCCAATGACCAGTCGAAAGTCACCTGAATGATCGGAGTTTTTGTTATAGAGTTGTAGATTAGTTTAATTTCTGTAAATTGTAAATATATAGTCTATTTTAAAATGGGCATATTTTCTACGTCTTCGCCATTTGATGCGGATGTTGGTAAGTAATTTTGGACCGCCTATGCAGAGTGTGTTGGATGGTTACTTAACTTTGATCTGTCTTATGATTCACTGTCATAAGAAATAAAACTAGTTGTCGTTCCCTTTACAACTTGGTTCCTCCCTTTCTACTGGATATTAGTTTTCATGATTTAACTGTATAGTATTATGGTAATTCAAAATCTGACAATTAGCAGCTGTATCTTAAGATTCCTTACACACCAAGGTATGTTCTTCCTTTGTGTCATTTTCAGTTTATCACCAACCGCTCGAAAATAGATTAGGACATTATTCTGGGAAGAATGATAGAACTTATTTTTTGTTAACATAGTATTGTGAATGAATGTTTCATAGTAATTATTTTTTTCTTTTAATTTTATTTCCTGTAGTTATAGATATATTGTGTTGAGTGGTTGTTGGAAATATATTTTTCTGCAACAGATATTACACTATTTTGAATACAGAATGGGGTGCAATGATTTGTTTTTCATTTTTTTGATGAGTATTGTCAGAAATATAGATTTATCTTTCTTCTAATTGTAAGACAAGTAAAGTGTTTCTTTTAATTCACTTCTCATTTCCTATAATTTACGTTTTTACGTATTATTAATGTCTCAGAAATAACTTGTGCATAATTTGACAATTTAATACATTTGTACAAATATACACACGGGATATAATTGGTGACCCTTAGAGTTAAAATGGTACAGAAATGTTGCATGATTGTCCAGCCACATTGTACCATCAGCAGTAGAGAGGCCTGGCCAATTTAATGCAACATATTACCCAATTTTAATTGCTCAGGTAGTGTAAGGAGGCTCTGATTATATGGAATGTGATTAGTTTCTGATGTGTGAATGTTGGTGATGGTGTGACTGTATGAAAGTATTAGTGAATAATAGAATATTAGCATTCAATTTACCGGCATTGTGTGTTATGTACCCTGATGGACTTTTCTCTTGTTGCAATGGATTTTTCCTGTAGTCATCTTCATGTTTACAAAATTTCTTTAAATTATAGTATTTGATATACTAACTTAGATGGCTAATTTGTAACACTTAGATTTTCCAATTTCCTTTGAGAAATTTCGCCAGGCCTCATACACTGTGTCACTATTTAGAGAAAGCAACAAATGAGAAGAATACTTCGGAGGATTGGGGTCTGATCATGGACATATGTGACAAAGTGGGGAGTAATCCCACACATGCAAAGGATTGTTTGCGGGCCATTGTGAAACGTCTAAACAACCAGGACCCTCACATTGTAATGCAAGCTATCACGGTAAGATTTGTTTTAAATCTTGCTGTGATTTAGTTCTTTTAGCAGAATATGTATATCTCTCCCGGGGTCTTTTGTACTACACATTCATAGCAGTACTAAACATTTTATTTTTTAATACATTCTTGTGAACCCTCACAAAATTATTTCTTTGCAGCTGCTGGATGCCTGTGTTAGTAATTGTGGGAAATCTTTCCACTTGGAAATAGCCTCCAGAGAATTCGAGAGTGAGTTTCGGAAACTACACGGTCGAAGTCAACCTCGTGTGGCAGAGAAATTGCGACAGCTGTTAAAAAAGTGGGCAGAAGGGGAGTTCAAAACAGATCCCCAACTTAATCTTATTCCATCATTGTATGCAAAACTTAAGCAAGAAGGAATTGATTTCTCAGCTCACTCAGAAATGGTTAGTTAAGAGAATGATTGTGATATTAATATTTCTTAATTAATTCAGTGTTAAAAATATATTTTAAATAAATTTCTATTGCCTTTAAAGCAGGGATTGTAGGGAATATTTACTTAAGCTACTGGTGCACACTTCATAAGAAAAGTATTTCTAGATAGTAAGATTTCAAATTCCAAAAAGAACATTGAAAATTTAATTGGTAGGAATTTGGTGCAACTTTTTTGTTTGCAGCCCCGACAAACAGCACCATTGAGTCGTGATCCGAATGTAGTATCCAGTCAGCAGGAAGAGGATGATATTGCTAAAGGTAAGAGCAGTAATATAATATTCTTCTTAAGAAATTTGTATTATGTAGTCAGGGAATTGAGGTTGAATCTAGAGACTTGGCAAAGTTCCTCTCTGGCTGCAAATTTAAGTTATAATGAATGTGATCTGACATCTACTTATTAATGTCAATTTAATTTAGTGCTGTTATAGCTGTTATTTATTAAATTATAATATGTACATAATAAAGCTTGAATTCTACATGTTTCAATATTAATATACCATTTTAACAAAAATGTATATGTCCATAAGACAATAAATTAGGCATTTATATGTTATCAATCAAAATGAAAAGTGTATTGTAAAAAATCAGTTTTTTCATTACTTCAGTGTTCAATAATGTTTAATTACGAAAGAATCTTAAAGCCGGGACTGATGACTTTTGTCTTTATACCATATTTGAATTTTAAAATTACAACAGTATCACTTGTGTAATGATTTTCTTTGCTCTGCTCCACAGTTACATGAAATTATAAAACCTGTACCATATTTTAAACTCCTCTTTCCTCTTCTCACAAAACTGTAAAATCATTTTATCATTTATATTTATAATATATTTTTTCTGCATTTTTGGTCATCTCAAGCTCAAAATTTTTTGTTACATGATGGTGTAATAAAAAAAAATTAATATTTAGTTGTACAGGCATGATGTTCCGCTATTCTTTTAATTCTATAATTTTTTTCTTAATTTCCTGAATTTTTTTTTTCCTGTACGAAGTGTAAGCTGATCTTACGTTAAGAACTTATATCTTGAAAAGATATGCTAGTATTATTAATATAAATATATTATTAAATTTGTCAAGAAAAAAATAGTATGCAGGATCTTCTCTTCTTGTCTCTTTTGAGTTGAACTTTTGATTTTAAAAAAAAAATTAAATGTATTTTGCTTGGTCTTTAAAATTTTCTTGCTCAATTTCTAAGTGCTCTTTTTCTTAAGTAATATATTATTGAGGTGCATCAACTGTATTAAATTTTGCAAATTTTACTATGGGAACATTGTGGATTGTTAGAATAGCAATGCGTTTTTAGTAATTTATGTTTGAAACGGCAAATTGATTACTGAAAAAAAAATGATGTAACTGCCATTTTTGTTAAATTTACATTTGCACCAGAAGTATGTTGAACGAATCAAGCTCTGTAAAATAAATGAGAACCAAAGTCCAGACACATTTCTTGATAGTGTTAAAGGGTGATTATAAATGGCTGGAGTTGTATGTGCCAATAGGTTTAACGTGTATATAAACTCATTTTTCTTGGAAGTATGAAAATTACTCTTGCAGCCTTTTTTATTTCAAGCCTTCAATTGACTTTCAAACAGACTTACTGATTTGTGAATCATTTTTCTAGAATTTATGTTTGGATAAATAAGCATTCCATCATCATAAGTCTTTAAGGAATGATTTTTTCTGTCATGCTAGTAGATAATGAATATTTTTGAGTGAAAATATTCATTATCTAGTAGCTTATTAAAAAAAGGATAAGGATAAATTTGAAAATGCATATAAATTGACATAAGTGTTTAGATTAAAATAATCTATAATTAATTTTTTATCCTTACAGAGAGGTTAAAATGAATGGAAATTATTAAAACTGGGCTATCTCCCTACTAAAGTTACTATGCATGCTGTGGTATAACAAAAATTGAGTTTTATTAAATCTACTAAACTCTTTTATGAAAATAATTATTAAATTGAATTGTAATTTCAAATATATTACAGAAATAATGTATATTGTATACCATAGTATGGAATTATAATAATTGCATAATATGTATGGAAATCATTTTTACTAAAAACTGTTGTGATGTGTCCAGTCATCGCCTAAATAATGCAGACTAGCAGGCTATGGTCTAGCTCTTATCTGTACAGCAGTAGGTGTTGTATTGGTGTAATGAGGTTGGGTAAACTGAAACAAGTGAATATAGGGATTGATTGATCAACTAATGAGTGCACAGATGCCAACATAATAATAAATTTTGTCAAGACATTCGATGTTTCCAACACGATAAACTGGTTTAGAAACTGCATGTGGGTATTGAACTTAAAGTTGTGATAAAATTCTTTGAGATAGGAAACAGAACAACCATGTTGGTCATCTTTAGCAAAGGGAACTTCAGGGATCTATCAAGGAAGTGTTATTGGACCTCTCCTCTGCCTTTGTGTTCCCGTAACTGTTCCAAAAGTGTGATTATTTACAGATTGCTGTATAATATATTGTATTATTCAATCAAGAGTTTATGAGAATATTTTGCAGGATAGAGGTAGACTACATTTCTGGGTGGGAGAAATTGCATGACTAAAAAGTTTGAAAAGCAAAACCACATTTGGTAGGGGCTGCAATGACAGTGAAACGTAATACTGTATATGCAATGAAAATATTCAGTCTTGTTTTGTAAGTATCTGGGAATAAATTTTGACATCAAATTGGTTTGAGAAAATCATGTTAAATTTTGTCATAGGGAAAACCTGGAGGCCTTTGCATTTTACTATGTGGATACTATAAAAGAGTACAGTGAAAGTAAGCGAATTAACCTGTTGGCCTGTAATAGCATTTGGTGGAGTTTGTTGGGATCTTTATAGAAATTTACATCTGGAAAATTTGGATAGAATATACAGAGAAACGTGAACACTTGGAAAGTGGAATGTGAGTCTCTAGAAATCAGGAGGGTTAAAGCAAAGCTCTGTCCACTATACAAAGAGTAAACCAGTTATCCAGCTTGAAAGGATATCTACATCTGGCTTGGAAGACTTGGTAGATGTACTTGAATAGAGGGGAACTCAAGCAAAATATTCGGTTCAGGTTACGGAGAACAAATATAACATTATCCTTTTCAAATAGAACAATAACAGACTATAATAAGTTGCATTTTAACAGCATTAAACAGCTTACCCTTTCCTCAAGGTATTCATACATTTAAAAGCTTAATAAAATTTTTAACGATAATTGTAAATTTTATTAGTTTGTAAGTTATCCTTATTAAAACTTATTATTATTGTTATTTACTACTACAACTACTACTACCACCACCACTACGACTACTGCTTCCACTACGACTACTGCTTCCACTACGACTACTGCTTCCACTACGACTACTGCTTCCACTACTACTACGACTGCGACTACTACGACTGCGACTACTACTACTGCGACTACTACTACTACGACTGCGACTACTACT